TAGGACTATAAGCATGTTAAAGTCTGATTTTTAAGATACAACAGATAATTGACACTAATTCCATCATTTTAAAAGAAATATTAACATAATTTTTCTTTTATGTCCAATCTATATCAATTATGCCTCAGTTTGCCAGTTTTAACAATTAATTCATTTGACAGATATTTTTCCAGTACCTGTAATATATAAGGACTTTGTTAAGTAGATATAACATTCAGTTGGGAGACAGCTCAGTCAGTGAAATGCTGGCCACACAAGCATCAGGACCTGAGTTCAATATCCAGAGCCCATATAAAATAAATAGCTAGGCTTGGTGGTTTGCACTTTAATCCCAGCTCTGGGAAGGTGGTGGCAGGAGGATTCCTGGGACTTGCTGGCCATGCAAACTGGCCTTCTCAGTGAGATCTAGACCAATCAAAGATCCTATCTCAAAAGCTAAGGTAGACACTTCTATGGAACAAGAAGGCTGACTTCTGGCCCCATGCACTCTTTCGAGCACACACACACACACAACACACACACACACACACACACACACACACACACACACACCACACTGAATAATTATAAAATGGTTACATATATAACAAGAAAAAGTAGCATGTAAAAAGTGTGTGTTAACATGCAATATTCTGAAGAAAAAACAGTCACTTGTAGATGAGGTTGTAAGACTTATTTCATGACAAAAATGATATTTGAGCTGTCTAAAAGATAGGTAGAAATGGTTAAAGAAAGGTATTTCTAGGCAGCCACAAACATATATCCCATGAACAGAAATAAGCTGTGAGCAAGTCGCATCATACAAAAGATTTCAAGTAGACCATAATATGGTAGCAAATCGTGGAAAGTCAAAGATAATTGAGCAAATAAATATGAGTTTAAGTTTTTTGAAGAGGATGTCTAGGGATTCAAGTTTGTTTTCAATCATTCCTTCATTCAATATCTTTCAAACCTCTTTTACAAATTGGACGTTTTTAGAAAGTGTGTGGGATATCAATGAAGAAAGATTCCACCCCCAGTGTCTCCATCCTCATTCTGGTAGAAGGAGGCATAATAAACCAAAGTAGCAGTCATACAGAGTTTTTGAAATTAGCATGCCACAGATGCAGCAATTACAAATAAAGCAGAAGCAATTATAAATACGTTGGCTGAGGTGACAACCTGAGGTTACTTTAAACAAGGGTTTGAAGTGCTAAGTACTATTAATTAAGTAATATTAAGTATTAAGGGAGCATGTCATGTCATGCAGATATCTAGAACAGAAAACCAGGCAGAGAAAATAGCATTGCCTAGGTCCTGAGGATAGCGAGACAGCCTGTGAGAGAACGCTGATAGCATCACAGAGGAAGAGGCCCCATCATGCACAGCCTTGTAGACAATTGTACTGACTGTGGATTGAGGACATTAGCCGCACCAGCACTGTGCAAGATGGAAAACCTTAGAAATAGAAGTCATAATTAATAAAATATTTTCCAGTTGAAAAAGTCCTAAAAAAATCCATTCATTTGCTATTTTATTCATTTATGTTAATCCAACAGAACTTTCAGAAATACTTCACTAGATATTGGCACCAGAACTGTGACAATATGGTGTGAACTTTTCCTGGGGAACCATTAACAAACATCTATTCAACCTAGATAGGGAACAAAAATAAACCCAAGTAATGATTCTACCCATGTCTAGTTTGGTGACATAATCAGTTTACTGGACATATTTACAGGAACATGGGTGAGGAGTTTCTTACAGGATGAATGACCCTCACACAGCTGCATAGTTGAAAAATCTCACCCCAGCATAGAGGCTCCTTTATAGCTGCTAGATGGAGCCCCCAACTTTAGTTAACCTTCTATCCTCTAGTACTCTCATACCTCCCAAGACCACATGCAGCTGGGTTAGAGTTACATAGAGCTTGGAGGAAGGTACAAGAGAGATGGCAAGTGAAGGGCTAATGACCCTCCCCACCCCCTCCTATGAAAAAAGGTCAACAAATCCAATCTTGAGACCCTGTTGAGAACTAATCACAGCTTTTCTTCTCTGATTAAGATGGCAATGGCTCTTAGGATCAGAGGACAGAGTCCTGCAACAGGCAGACAAATTTTGCTTGTACAAAGCTGATCATTTTGCAGGAGTGATGATCACAACAATAGAACCATCCCACATGCCCAAAACTCCTCAAGTCGGTAGAAATTGAAATTTTATCACAAATCCAAAACAATCTAATCATGTAGAAAGGAAGATCTTACAAAGCTTAAATTACATAAACAGTTCTTTGTCCACTTCCGAAGTAATAGCTTTCAATGAAATATTGGCCAACATTCTTGCTGCTTGTGATTTCTTCTGAAAAAAGTGATTGGATAGTTGTGTGTCAAAAGAAACTATTCAAACACCCAAGCAGTTAAAGATATAGGGAACATTTGGGGGCTTTTCATTCCACCCAAAATGGTGAGTCTCAGAACACAGGCTACAAGTATATTTAATTCAATACAACCACTTACGAATACATTAATTTAGCAGGCATGAAAGAAGCAAAGACCACTCCAAAATGACCAAGACTGTCTGTAACCCAGACAGTAGCATTTTTAAAACAAATTGCTGGAGCTTGAAGATATCATCACTTGTGGCTGGATGACTGGCTTTAGTGCCCTTTTAATGATGAACCCACTATCTCAGAGGATAAATAGGAGCTAGGCTCTGCTGTCAAGCTGTCATAGAATTATTAAATATGGGGGTGAAAATGACCCAAACACTATGTAATGAGCTCCCTTTTCATTCTCTCACTACAAAAGCACATCTGTGGATTGTTAATGACTCTGAAATGATGAACCAAATTGATGAGAAAGAAACTATCTCTCAGGGGTAGGGAAAAGGAAAATGAACACACACAATGTTTATAAAGCACAATTTAAACTGTAAGGGCTTGTGAAAGTACTGTGAAAAGCTATAAAGTGGCATACAAGTGTAGGCTGTTATTACGCATTCTCACAGTCCTTTCCCTTAGGATTTTAATATCAATCGTCATTCTTTTAAAATATACAGAAATACTGAGACAATCTCACAGTTCAAGGCTGTGACTCTTAGGAGGTGCTGTCATTCTGCTTGGCTATTTTCTCTCCCCATTGGATGACATTTTATTAAACATGTCCTTGAGTTGTAGATAGCAACTTGGTAAGGACCAGGCTATGTGCTGAGTCCTATGGGCTGACTTCCCAGGTCTAGTGTCCTAGGCCACGAAGATTTATTTGCTTCAGGATGCTCCTGAAAGCCATACCGCAGTGCAAACATAGGATTCAAGTGAGGCAATTTCTTAAACCTCTGCATAAGTTTACTGATCTCGGCACCTCAGAGGCTGGTATTATAAAAGTTCTCAATAACTCTGAACTAAGTTGAATGGAATGTGAAACAATGGAATATCTTGTTCAGAGATATGTCAAATAGCAGCAGGCACATTTAAAAATTACCGCATTCTTTAACTCATACATGTAAGCAATCAATTTACTTGAGCGTGTATAGAGATTCCAAATTTAGCTGTTTTCAGAAAGCTTGAAGTTGGAGAATTTTGATTTGTACTTTAATATACAGAGAATGGTGAATCAATAGGAGACCTTGCTTTATTACGTGCCTTAAGGAAAGACACAAGTCTGAAAGTAATCGATTTGCTCATTCCCAGGGTGGTACAGGTCAGCTGCATCACACAGGTAGCACTGGGTTATACAGGATGAAGGACCAGTATTGGTCAATATGGGGCTGTATAATCCCAGAGGGGAAATCATCTTTAATACTCAGATCATGAGTTCTTTAAATCAAAGGGAGAAAGAGTCCCAATACCACTGTGCACATGGAGTATGCACTAAGGGGCCATTCATTTAATCCATGACTGCTTTAGAAGATTTAAAAACACTAAGAAAGAAATACAGTAGCCATTCAAGGAAAATTAGACAGTATGTAGTTGATATATTTTCCTAGTAACCCACTATGAGTAATAAAGAATGATTATAAGGAAATGGTATTTTAATATGGTACTGTCAACTGAAAAATCTCCAGTTTAAGCACACTTTAAAAGTAGCCTTTAAAATAAAGCACAGTATGTAATATCATCGTTCACATGTGGCCATAGGAAGCTCATTCCTACACTCCCTTGTCCATACAGAATTCCATAGTATCCTACAAATGTGTTATAACTTTCAGGCATGCTTTCTTCAGTACTAAAAGAAAGGCAAACAAAGGCAGCTTTGATTTCACATAAATTTGTTCATAGATTGGGCAGTATCATCAGAAGGAGGCACAGAGAATAAATTGGCAGCTCAATTTCCAGGCCACTGCACACCTTAATGGTGTAACACAACCCCTCCTTCCATCCCCAAGCCCTGAAAATTATGTGATTTTAAAAGGTATGCCTTTAACCACTTCTCTCATTTTTATTCTATACCACCCCACCCCAGTCAGCTAAACAACTAGCAACAAGGTCAATCAAATGCAATGCTTCTCTCTATTCAAATATAATGGAAATTTTGACCATTCCACATTCAGAGAGCAAATACATTCTCACACTGACAACCACATTCATCGGCTTCTCCTGAAAGCCGAGTGTGACAGATGCCTTGGCTGTAATTGCCAATCAGCCTTTACATGGCAGCTGAAAACACAATATATCACTTTGATCTCCTTTGCTCTAAACACATCCACAATCAAGAAACTTGAACAAGGAATAAAATTGGCATCGTTTCCAGAAGCTGTCACTGGTGGCACTAAATACTGGAATGTATATTTTGCTCATATATTTTATTTCTCTGTTTGAAACACTGTTAAAGACCTGAACAACAGCAACAAAAATTCTATAGTTAATCATATAAACATCCACCTACACAACAAATTTGAATACAAGCATATTTAATTAAATACCACCACAATCTTTTCCTTTTCTAAGTAGCCTCTTGAGGATTTAAACAGGGTTGGAGACCCCTTCTGATTTTGGAACAATGTTCAAGAGTGTCAGTACTCACATTTTGCAGGGAGGTCATAGCCACATGTGACTTTTGCACGTCCAGTCTCACAGCCATTCAGGGTGCGGCATTCAGCTAACAAACAGGGGCCAGCTGCTCTGTGAATGCAGCCATCCACTAGGGGAGAGAGAAAACAAAGTTAGCCTGTATTTGACCTTTGCAAATAAATGTAAAAACTGACATGAAACAGCCAGTTAATTTGTTCCTCCTGGAAATCACAGCTCCATTGAGGAAAACCCACAGTTTGAACCTCTCTCTCTCTCTCTCTCTCTCTCTCTCTGTCTCTCTGTCTGTCTCTGTCTCTGTCTCTCTCATTTTGTTTATGTGGTCAACAGAAGTAGAAAAGCAATAGAAGTGGTTTGTTGGTTGACATTAAGTTCTGTTGGGATGGAGAAGGCCCTGACATGTAGCGTAATTCCACTGGTGTAAACACTCCTGCTATGTCCACCTTTAGCGAACACAAGGTTGGGACGAAATGCTAACTACTGTCTTTCCTCAGCTGTTAAGCACTTTTCCCAACACACTAGCAATATCGGGTAAGGTTAAGTTTCAAGAATGGTACATTTGTACTCATTTCAGAAGTGAGGTAGCAAAACCAAAACTATCCAAATAAGAACCAAATCTTTGCACATCTTTGCACAACTTGGTCTCTCAAAGGTGCAATGTGATGCAAACAAGAGCAGGTTCCTACAGAATATCTAATCCAGATGAACAAGGTTAGATGAAGTCTTTATACATGCCCTTAAGACCACACCTCTGGCTTTCCGCAGAGTGAAACGGAACTTCTGTAAGCTGTTCTTCTTCTTCTAAACAAGCAGCTTACTTTCCTTGACCAGCTTTAGGTACCATCAACTCTAGTTCTCATTTGGGTCCCTTTACATACAACCATCCCAGCAAGAAGCACCAAGCTTATGTCACTACAAAGTAAAACTTTCCGAGATTTGTTAGTGCTTAGCTGGAGGACTAAAAAGTCATGTACACATAAAGTAGGAAATCAAGAATCTGGGAGTTTAGTGGTTATGGAACAGGTTCGGGAAAAGAAAGAGAATGCAGATTTGCAAACCAAGCCAAAGCTGGAGTCAGAGTAATCAAGCACGTGAGCATACACTGTTTAAGATGTCTGAAGAATGCCAGTTCATACTGTCATGCAATTGACCACTATTCTCACTGTTTTAGATGTCCCAAGAACACCAGTCTCTACCACCACACAATGGACCGCTGTTCTTTATTGTTATTTTTGTTTTGAGAGTAAGCTGGATATTAGACATCAGTGCTGAGGGAAGTACGCCCCGTCTAATACTCAAGTTGGCTTTTTTTTGCCATTGACTGTTACACAGACATCACTCTTTGCTGAACAAGTCTCCCAGGGAATAAGCTTATCCAGGCTTGCCTGCACTGCCATTTATATATCTATGAAGTATGATAAGAAACCTGGACCTCAAAGGCCCTCATATCAAATTGAATGTATTCCAGACAGCTCTCAACTGTTACACTCCACAGACCAGGTATGGACCCTTTACCAGCTACATGGTGCTGTAAGCGCTACTTTCTTATAAATTAGTGTTAACAAACGTGTAACCACACAGCTGTGCAGTGGAGGCACTTAGCAGAATGCTTAATACAATATTACATGTTGGAATTGATGGCCGTTAGCTTAAACATCCTAACAAGAGACTGCATGTGTAAAATTTAAAACCACCCTTACTTATCAGCAAATGAGAAAAACCAAGAAACAAAGGACACCTAACCCACCACTCCCTGTGTGCTGCACAGGGAAGGCCAATATTGTGCTGTGTACTCTCTGTTTTTATTTTTCCTCTCATACACAAAAATAGATTTTATGACAAGAAACGATTGAAAGTATTTGTCGAAACACATTTAAATAATTGGTTCACTTTTTGGAATTCATCACATGAAATTATTAACTCCAGTGCAAAAGAGGTGTATATCTGAAGGTGAGAGTTACCTATAATCATGAAAACTTGAAACTACCCAATGTTCATTAACAGGTAGCTTGTTAAATAAATAAAAGCCCATGCTGTCATAGATCATTCTGCAACTATTAAAAAGAACAGATCTATGTTTCAGGGGAGCAAAGTCCTAAGCACAGAAAGATTTTTAAGTGCAAATGACTGACAAGTTTAGGAGAGAGTCATATCTGCAATCAGTGTAATCACCATTCTAGTTATGGTTCTATACACACTCCTGTACATGTGCACATACACATGTGTGCACTGGAAGGATAGACACCTCTAATAATGGAACTACAGGATGAAGACCAGAGGGAGAAGACTAGTAGGAAAAAATTATGCCCTAATTCCTCTATGCTTGACTCCCCCCCCCCCGCCCCCCGCAAGCTCGTCAATATGTGTGGCATAGTGCATAGGGTTTGGTGGGAGGATGGGGGAGCATGGATGGGGGAGGGGGTCTGGATTTGAATGGGAAATGTTGTATGAAATTTACAAAGCTAAATTAAAAAATCAGTAAAAAAGAAGAGTATTTAAAAGTGAACAGTTTTTTTCTTGACAGAGATAGTTACTTAGCTTGAAATGGATAACTAAAATAGGATTTGCTAGTGTACTTAATCATGTGCTGTCAAACAATGCCTGAATTATTTAGATTGAAAGCTAATGCAGTTTGCAGATATCTAATTCTTAAACTCTTCGTGGTTATGCTCTTGTTCCTAATTGAGTTAGGGCAATACCAGTGTAGCCGAAGAGCTGTTTAATAATAATGATTATGGCTTAAATGCATCGAATACATCTGTGTCCCAGTCATTACACCAAGGACAACCTTATAAGATGGATACTAATTTTATCATCTCCATTATGTTAGATCTTAGAGGAGGTTAGTAACTTGCCTACATCCACAAAGAATTGACAATATATTTCAAAGCCCAAGATTTTTCTAATGCAGTGATCCCAACCCTAAACACAATTCAGGTCTTGAATCCTGACAGTCTTCCTCAAGTTTCTGCATGGGACATACTGAACCACTGTATTATTACATTTTAATTTCTATCCTATTTATGACTTATAATGTACATACAATCAAATCCACAGATATTAAGTGTGCAATTTTAATGTATTTTAGCAAACGTGTATTGGTATCACATCACTGTGATAACGAAGATGAGACATCTTTATCAGCCCAATGTTTTCTTGTACGCTTTCCATCTAAATTCTTGACTCATCACCCATGGGGGCACTTATTCTGTTTCAGAGACGACAGTTGTGTTTTAGCTGTTGTATCATTTCAAACTTCAGATTGAGGTTCTGACATCCTTCAGCAGAAGTTTAAAACTGCATGTCTTAAGATTTTCTTCCATTTTATTCTTGAGAAATAATCTACTCTTGAATATATCATAATTCCTTTTTTATCTGTAACTGGATAAGAGTTGTTTGCAGTTTTTAGTGATTGTGGATAAATCTCCATTCTGTACAGCTCCTTTTGTTGTTATTAGTTTTCATTTCCTTGGGAAAGTTTCTATGAATAAAATGTCTGGGTGGATACAATACACACTGCATAAAAGACATATCCTTTTCTCAAGTGATTGTGTTACTTTCTACATGCTCCCAGCAATGTATGAGGGCTCCAGTTTGGGTATTCCTTTGGTGCTATCAATCTTTTTAATTTTAGCATTCTAATGGCTACAAAGGACTATTCAATTTAGATCTTTTTGATGTCTAATGAGGTTAAATATCTTGCCAAGTGCTTAGTGACTATTCATCTATGTCGTTTTTGAAATGCCCATTCATGTCTTTTACTAATTTTTATTGTTTTTAATTACTGAAATGTGTTAAATCTCCCAAATCTCATCTAAATCGTTTTCTTAATTTCAGATTTTTTTCAGTTCTTGAGATTTCCATTTGGCTCTTTACTTACTATTTTCAATATCACTTCTGAAATTTCACAACTCATTATATGTACCATGTACCTATATTAACAGATTTTACATGGTGACTTTATAGTGCACGTCTTTCAATTCCAATATTCAGGTCACCAATGAATCTGTTTCTATTGTCTCATTTTTTTCACTTAACTCTGAGTCACATTTTAGAAATGTCTAGTAATTGCTGATAGCATATTGAAAACTGATTAATATGTGGTAGCATTAGATTGTATTATCTTTGTGATGGCTAATCACTATTGTCAACTTGATGAGGCAGGCCTCTGGGCGTGGCTGTAGGGGACTATCTTGATCAGACTGGCTGATGTGAGCAGATACACCCACTGTGGATAGCACCATTCCCTGGGCTGGGCTCATCCTGGATATATAAAAAGAGAAAGCGGCTTGAGCACACATGCTCATTGGGCTCTGCTTTCTTTCTGTTGCTGTGATACGATCAATTGCTTCACTCTGTTATCTTGACTTCCCCACCATGATGGGCTGTACTCGAACTATTAGCCAGAATAAGCCCTTTCTCCCTTGCCATTTTTGTCAGGGTATTTTTGCCTCAGCAAGAGGAAAAGAAACTACAACAGTCCTCCACACAGTGTTGTTTATTCCAGCAGGCCTATGAATGAGTATCAGTATGGAGGAGGCTTTGTTAAGATGGATCTACTTCCATTTTTCTATTCCTGGGGAAAACCCCTCAGTCCTAGGCTATATTATTTACACTCAGCATGGTTCTTCCAGAGTTTCAATGCAAAATTCACAGTGTTAGAGAAGCCCCTCTCTGACCTGAGGTGATAGGGGGAGGGCGACAAAACTCCAAACTAATATACCTGCTGAAGCTCTCAGTTTTTTTCAACCTTATTAGTGATATTTGCATCCAGGGATTCTTGGAGTCTTTCCCTATACATGCATAATTCAAGGCTCAGTTTAGGATTTGAAAAGGATTTATTTGTAAGTTTGGGAGATTCCCTTCCCTGTTATTTTGTCCTTTTCAACTCCTAGTCAGTCTAACAACCCTGAATTCAGGGTTCCCATGCCAATAAAACTATTGAATTCAGCTGTGACCTATGAGCAATTTTGAGATGCAGTAGTAGGACCCTCAAGGTCAAAGTTATGTGATCTTTAAAGGTAGTTCTGACCTGCTGTGGCTTTCCCTCTTTCAAAGACTGAACCAGTTTTAGTTTCATCTTGTTTATATTTGTTTCCTAATGCCAACAAA